AGGAGGAGGAGGAGGAGGAGGAGGAGGAGGAGGAGGAGGAGGAGGAGGAGGAGGAGGAGGAGGGAGAGAGGGAGGGAGGGAGAGCCCGCGCCGCTCTGGGCCAGGGCCCAACGCCAGCAGGTTCGAGCACTGGCGCACGCTGTTGGCCGACGCCGCCGCCTTGGAAGCAGTGGCAAAGGTGGCCGTCGCCTTCCTGCTCGGCGAGCTCAGTCCAGAGGCCACGCGCGCCAACCTGGGAGCCCGTCTGTTGGCCCAGCACAAGCGGAACGGGGCCCTCTGGCCGATTGCTTGCGGCTCCGTCCTCCGCCGTCTCGCTGCGAGGGCCGCCTGTGATGTCTACAAAGACGACATGCAGGGCGCAGTCGGCCCGCACCAGTATGCCGTTGGACGTGCTGCTGGGTGCGGGCTCGTGCGCAAGTGTCTCACCGCTCTCTCGGAGGCATGCCCACAGGGTGCCGCCTTGGCATTCGACTGCTCCGACGCCTTTAACAGCATCCCTCGAAACGCGTTGCTGGACAGTGTGCGTCGGCGTGCTCCGCGCTTGTTCCAGAGCACCAGCCACTGGCTCACGGGAACCACGCAGCACTACTGGTGGGACGACCCCGCCGACGACGCCCACGGCGTCCGAGCAAGCAGCGTCGTGGACCAGGGGTGTCCGCTCTCGCTGGCGCTCTTTGCAATTGGTGATGCAGACGCACTGGACAAGGTCTACGCCCGCCTCCAAGCTCTCTCGACCGCCTGCAGGGTTTTCAGTTACCTCGACGACATCATGGTCTTCGTCTCGCCAGAGCACGCGGGCGCAGCCATGCAGGTGGTCACGGGCATCCTTACGCGGCACGGCCTTGCAGTCAACCAGACGAAGACCTAGGCTTGGTCCGGTGGAGGGCGCGGCCACTTACCTGTCAGCGTTCAGGAGCGCTGGGTGAACCACCTCACCTGCTTGGGCAACGCGGCCCCCTGGCTTGAGCAGGAGAGGGGAGGGGAGGGAGAGGGGCAAGAAGAGCGACCGTTCACGCCGGGCTGGACGGCGCCACGGCTGTTGCGAAGGCAGCGGCGTTTGCTGCCCGCCTGCAAGAGCTGCGACAGGCAGGCCTCCGGGCTGAGAGCGCCTTCGCTCTCCTCCTGACCTTCGCTCGCGGATGCATCGCGCACCATCTCCGCGCCAACCTGCAGGGCGACTGGGCAGAGCAGCTAGACCGAGTCCTCTTCGGCTGCCTGGACCAGCTTGCTGGCGCACCCTTGGACGCCCAACAGCGCCTCCAAGCGACCCTGCGACTTGCCGACGGCGGATGTGCTTTCCCCTCGGCTACCCTGACGGCGCCCGCCGCCTACGCCTCCAGCTGGGCTCTCCTGCTCCACGATGTCATGACCTGCCTTGGGGCCAACTCGCCGGAGGAATTCCGAGCCCGCTGTCCGCGGACGCAACGGACGCTCGACCAGGCGGAGGCGGCGCTCGGGGCGGCCGACGTACTCCAGGCCTCCTTCGATTGGATAGGCTGCGTTGCAGAACCTCAGCCCAAGCTACAGGGGCACTGGACCAGAGCATCCTCCGCGGCGAACAAAGCGAAACTGATGCAGGCGGACGACGAGGACCACCGCCTGCGCTTGAGGGAGAACGGGTGCGCCTGAGCGGGCAGCTGGCTCCTCCCGCGCCAGCCAGAGGACCCCCGCCAGCCAGACGCGCACTTCTGCGGCAACCTAAAGCGCCGGCTCTGCGCCCCAGTCCGCCCGCCTGGGTCTCGCTGTCAGCGCCGCCGCCAGGACGGGAGCCTCTGCAACGAACCCCTTGGCCCGCACGGCTGGCATGCGGTCAAGTGCGATGTGGTACGTCGCGCAACAACCGCCACAACGGTTGCCGCGACTGGCACCGTGCGAAGCAGAAGGAGCTCCCTGGCTTCGCGGCGCCCGCGGAGCAGGCCGTCCCAGCCTGGGGCCGCCGCCACCCCCGCACGGGCGAGCTCCAACAGGCAGTGCTCGACTTGTCCACTAGTGACCCAGACAGCAGCCGCCAGATCTTCATCGATTGGAGCATCACCTGCGTACACTCAACCTACGCTCCACGCAGGGGTGCCCGGTCCGAGAGAGACGGGTTGGCGGCCGCCCAGGCGGTGGAACAAAAGCGAGAGCGCTACCCTCCGCACGGAGGAGAACTGGTCCCCCTAGTCTTCGAGACGGGCGGGCGGCCCAGCGACGAAGCAGCCAGCTTTGTCCGCAGCTATGGAGCCTGCTTGGACGACGCCGACCGCTCCGAGCTGCTGGGCGGCCTCTGGCGGCAAATCAGCAGGACCCTCCAAAGGGGCAGTGCGGAGATGCTGCTGAGCGCGCTCGGGCGCTGAGCCACCACGACAACGACCAGCGCCAGCACGACAGCCGCCGCGGCGTCACGGGGACCGCCACCAGCACGACGACCACCACGGCCACCACCACTGCGACCACGACAACGCGGCGACACCGGGACCGCCACCAGCACGACGACCACCACGGCCACCACTTCTGCGACCACGACAAAAGCCGCACGACGACGACCGCCCCGACCCCTCCCCTCGGCACCCACCCCTGCCCCCGCGACGTCGACGTCTTCGCCCCCCACGACTTGTACGACCACCCAAACCGCCCCCCGTTCCCCCGACGCTTCTCCCTCTTCCCCTCCTCCCCCCTCGCCTGGCCGCCCCTGCTGCTGCGCTCCCCCTTCTCCTCCTCCTCCTCCGCCTCCTATCCGGCGCCGATGAATTCAGGCGGCTCGCGGGGCAACGGCCCAGCGGGCGGACAAGGCCCTTCCGGCTGCCCTGGGGGTCCCCTGCGAGGGTGCCGGTCTGTCCTGGAGGGATGAGCCCCCAGGGCCGAGGCGACGGGAGGGAGGGAGGGGGGGTAGGCAAGCTAGGTGCGCGCGCGTCATATCTGACGTCCTACCCCTCCCTCCCATCCCTTACCATGGCGCTGATTTTCTCTATCCGCGGACTAGTGGGTGGTGGTGCGCGTGCCGTGCGTGCGTGCGTGCGTGCGTGTTTGTGCGTGGTGTGGTGGTGGTGTGGTGGTGGTGGTGGCGGTGGCGGTGGCGGTGGCGGTGGCGGTGGCGGTGGCGGTGGCGGTGGCGGTGGCGGTGGTGGTGGTGGTGGTGGTGGTGGTGGTGGTGGTGGTGGTGGGTGTGTGTGTGTGCGTGTGTGCGCGTGTGCTGTGGCATGGCACGGGAAATGACGCCAGCGCTGCAGCGGGAGCGCGAGTCGAAACGGGCGGAAGCGCGGAAATGAGGCCAGCGCTGCAGCGGGAGCACGATTCGGAACGAGCGGAAGCACGGAAATGAGGCCAGCGCTGCAGCGGGAACACGATTCGGAACGAGCGGGGCCCGAAAATGAGGCCGGCGCTTCGGCGAGAGCAGCATTTTGAAAAAAACACAAGCGAAAACCCGTTTCCCGGGAATCCTGTGTGTAAAAAAACAATACGCGGGGGGGTGTCGGATATCTTCGGGACGCCATCAGGGGAAGTGGGAGAGTAATTTCATATTGTGTAATTAACTGTGTAGGGTAGGGTAGGGTAGGGGAGAGGAGGGGAGGGAGGGGAGGGAGGGGAAGGAGGGGAAGGAGTGGAGGGGAGGGGAGGGGAGGGAGGGGAGAGAGGGGATGGAGGGGAGGGAGGGGAAGGGAGGGAAGGGAGTGGATGGACGGGCCGTTTCGGGGCCATCTTGGGCCGTGTTGGCATCTTGAGGCTCTCTTCGCAGCCTGTTCGGGCCGTTCTGGCCGCGCGTTGGCGTCGCCATGAGAATCCTGGGGTGGCTTGGAGCAGCCAGTATTTGAGGTTCACCCCCCCGTTGGCTGTTTGGTGACGCGGAGGGATCCCTAAGCAGACAGTAAACAAGAGGCAGGAGACAGGAGAGGAGAGACAAAGGGCCAAACAACAAACGATAAGACATAACACATGGCAGCAGACCGCATGCACTTTCGCACCCTTGCGCCCCCGGAGGGGGCCGGATGATAATACATATATATATATATACATATATATATGTACATATACATATATGTGTATTCATTCATTCATATATATATATATGTATACATACACATACACAAACACACATGCATATCTATACATACGTAGAGAGAGAGAGAGAGAGAGAGAGAGAGAGAGAGAGAGAGAGAGATAGAGAGAGAACAAGAGAGAGAGAGAGAGGAATAATATTCTCGAGCAAAAAGATAATATGGAGAGAGGGGGAGAGCGAAAGAGAGAGAGAGAGAGAGAGAGAGCGAGAGAGAGACCGGGAACCGAGAATCCAGAACCAGGAACCGGGAACTGGGAACCGCGGGGACCTGGGACCCTGGAATTGGGAACCAGGAGTCAGGAACCGCAAACGGGACGGGATTTGGGAACCCGGAACTGGGAATTGGGAGCCAGGAGCCAGGAACTGGGATCCGGTAGCCGGGAATAACCAGGAACCGAGAACCCGGAAGCGGGAACGGGGAGTCGGGAGATGGGAGCCGGGAGCCGAGAACCAGGAACCTGGAACCAGGAAGCGGGAAGCGGGAACCGGGAACCGGGAACCGTGATCCGGGAACCAGGAACCGGGAATTCGGAGATTAACAGATTTTTTCTCCCCTCTTCTCCTTCCTTGTCCTCTTCGCCCTGTTCCCAGTCCTACCCCTTTCCCGCCATTGCTTGCCACCAGAGGCTTTTTTGCACAGCTCTGCACCCTGGAGCATTTGGAATCGCGGCGAAGGCGAGCCGCGGCGTGACGTGATGTGGAGGCTTTTGAGCCCCAAGTCTGTCTTGCCTTCCCTATTCTGCTCTCCTTCCCCTCCCCCACCCCCTCTCCCTCCCCTTCCAGCTCCCACTCCTCCCCGTCCTCCCTCTCCTCCCCCTCCTCGTCCTTCTCCTCCTCTGGACCTCGTCCTCCAGATCCCTCGCCCTCCTCCGCCGACGCAAACGTCGCCGCCGATGGCCGCCGAAAGCCTCCAGTGGCCGCTGGTGCCCGCCGTTGGCTGCCGAGGGCCGCCGTTGGCCGCATCAGGATGGCCGACGACCCCATCGAGGTCCTGCGCGCCCAGGCCGCCGTGGAGTCCACGCCGCCAGAGGCCACACGCCGCCGTCGCCGTCGTCGCCGTCGTCGCCGCCGTCGTCGCCGCCGCCGCCGCTGCCGCCGCCGCCGCCGCCGCCGTCGTCGTCGTCGCCGCCGTCGTCGCTGTCGTCGTCGCCGCCGCCGCCACCGCCGCCGTCGTCGTCGCCGTCGCCGTCGTCCTCACCGTCGTCGTCGTCGTCGTCGTCGTCGTCGCCGCCATCGTCGTCGTCGTCGTCGTTGTCGTCGTCGTCGCCATCGCTGTTGTCGTCGTCACCTCCGTCGCCGCCGCCGTCGTCGCCGCCGCCGCCGTCGCCGCCGTCGTCGTCGTCGTCGTCGTCGTCGTCGTCGTCGCCGTCGCCTTCGTCGTCGTTGTCGTCGTCGCCGTCGTCGTCGCCGCCGCCGCCGCCGCCGCCGTCGCCGTAGTCGTAGTCGCCGCCGCCGCCGCCGTCGTCGCCGCCGCGCCGGGCGCCGCCGCGTTTGGCGTCGTCGTCGTCGTCGTCGTCGTCGTCGTCGTTTGCCGTCGTTGTCGTCGTCGCCATCGTCGCCACGTCCGTTTCGTCTTTACCGCCGCCATCGCCGGCCGCCGCCGCCGTCGCCTGCCACCGCCGGCGTCCGTCGCTGTCGTCGTCGTCGTGTCGTCGCGTCGTCGTCGTCGTCGTCGTCGCCGTCGTTGCCGCCGCCATTCGCCGTCGTCGTCGCCTCCGTCGTCGCCGTCGTCGCCGTCGTCGCCGCCGCGCCGCCGTTGCGACGCCGTCGTCGTCGTCGTTGTCGTCGTCGTCGTCGTCGTCGTCGCCGCCGCCGCGCCGCCGCCGTCGTCGTCGTCGTCGTCGTTTCGTCGTCGTCGTCGCCGCGCCGTCGTCGTCGCCCATCGTCGTTGTCGTCGCACCGCCGCCCCCCCCCGCCGCCGCCCGTCGTCGTCGCCGCCGCTGTCGCCGCCGCCCGTCGGTCGTCGCCGCTGCCCGTCGGCCCGTCGTCGTCCGCCGCCGCCGCCGCCGTGGCCGCCGTCGTCGTCGTCGTCGTCGTCCGTCGTCGTTCGTCGTCGTCGTCGTAGTCGTCGTCGCCATCTTCGTTGTCGTCGTCACCGCGCCGTCGCCGCCCGTCGCCGCCGCCGCCGCGTCATCGTTGTCGTCGTCTCGTCGTCGTCGTCGTCGCCGCCGCGCCGCCGCTGTCGTCGCGCGCCGTCGTCGCGTCGCCACCGTCGTCGTCGTCGTCGTCGTCGTCGTCGTGTCGTCGTCGGCGTCGTGTCGTCGTCGTCGTTCTTCGCCGGTCGTCGCCGTCGTGCCGTCGTCGTCATCGCCGCCGCCGCCGTCGCCGTCGCCGTCGTCGTCGCCGCCGCCGCCGCCGCCGTCGTCGCCGCCGCCGCCGCCGTCGTCGTCGTCGCCGCCGTCGTCGTCGTCGTTTTCGTCGTCGTCATTGCCGTCTTCGCCATTGCCGTCGTCACCGCCGCCGACGCCGCCGTCGCCGTTGCCGCCGCTGCCGTCGTCGTCGTCGCCGCCGCCGTCGTCGTCGCAGCCGCCACCGCTGCGTACGACGCCTTCGTTGTCGTCGTCATCGTCGTCGTCGTCGTCGTCGGTGTCGCCGTCGTCGTCGTCGTCGCCCTCGTCGCCGTCGTCGTCGTCGTCGTCGTCGTCGTCGTCGTCGTCGTGCTCGCCGCCGCGGCCGCCGCCGCCGCCGTCGCTGCCGCCGCCGCCGCCGCCGTCGTCGTCGCCGTCGCCGTTGCCGTCGCCGTCGCCTTCGTCGTCGTCGTCGTCGTCGTCGTTGTCGTCGTCATTGCCGTCGTCGCCGCCACTGCCGCCGTCGCCGCCGCCGCCGCCGACGCCGTCGTCGCCGTTGCCGCCGTCGCCGTCGTCGTCGTCGTTTTCGTCGTTGTCGTCGTAGTCGTCGTCGTCGTTGTCGTCATCATCGTCGTCGTCGTCGTCGTCGTCGCCGTCGTCGTCGTCGTCGTCGTCGTCGTCGTCGTCGATGCCGTCGATGCCGTCGTCGTTGTCGTCGTCGTCGTCGTTGTCGTCGTCGTCATTGATGTCGTCGCCGTCGTCGTCGTCGTCGCCGTCGTAGTCGTCGTCGTCGTCGTCGTCGTCGTCGTCGTCGTCGTCGTCGTCGTTGTCGTCTTCGTCGTCGTCGTCGTCGCCGCCGTCGCCGCCGCCGCCAACGCTGCCGCCGCCGCCACCGCTGTCGTCGTCGCCGCTGCCGCCGCCGCCGCCGTTGTCGTCGTCGTCGTCGTCGTCGTCGTCGTCGTCGCCGCCGCCTCCGCCGTTGTCGTCGTCGTCGTCGTCGTCATTCTCATCGTCGCCGCCGCCGCCGCCGTCGCCGTCTCCCTCGTCGTCATCATCGTCGTCGTCGCCGTCGCCGCCGTCATCGTCGTCGTCATCTTTCTCGTCGTCCTTCGTCATTGTTCTCGTCGTCGTTGCCTTCGCCGCCGCTGTTTCACCGTGCCGTCGCCGTCGCCGTTGCCGTCGCCGTTGCCGCCGCCTTCGTTCGTCGTTGTCGTCGTCGTCGTCGCCGTTTTTGTCGTCGTCGTCTTCGTCGTCGTCGTCGTCGTCATCGTCGTCGTCGTCATTGTCGTCGTCGTCGTCGGTGACGGCGCTGCGGCTGTTGCCGCTGCCGTCGTCGTTGTCGGTGTCGCTTTCGCCGCCGCCCTCGCCGCCGATTGCCGCCGAATGCAGCTAAGCCGCCGCCGCCGCCGGGGAGAAGAGCCAGCCGATGCCAGTGCTCTATCGGCGGGTCCGTGTCCCCCCCAGCTGCTGTCGCCGTTGCCCCGCCTCCGCGCCCGCTGTGGGGGGGAGACGCTGGGACAAGGAGGATGAACGAGGAGGAGGAGGAGGAAGAGGAGGAGGAGGAGGAACAGGATGATGATGATAATGATGAGGAGGAAGGGGATGATGCTGCTGCTGATGATGCTGATTATACTGATGATGACGATGATGAGGATGATGATGATGATGATGCTGATGATGATGATGATGACGATGATGATGATGATGATGATGATGATGACGCTGCTGATAATGATAATGATAATGATAATGATGATGATGATGATGATGATGATGATGATGATGATGATGATGATGATGGTGATGCTGTTGATGCTGATGATGATGCTGCTGCTGATGATGATGATGACGCTGATGATGCTGATGATGGTGGTAGTGGTGGTGATGATCATGATAATGGTGGTGGTGGTTCTGATGCTGCTGATGATGATGATGATGATGATGATGATGATGATGATGATGATGATGATGATGATGATGATGCTGATGATGTTGGTGGTGGTGGTGGTGGTGATGGTGATGATGGTGATGATGCTGATGGGGACGAGGAGGAGGAGGTGGAGGAAACGGAGGAGGAGGAAACAGAGGAGGAGGAGGAGCCAGGACGCAGATATTCTAGCGATGGTGCCGCTGTCCCAACGTCGAGCCGTGGCGGCGGGCGGAAGCCCATCGCAATGTCTAAGATGAGGACCTCCACAACTGCGGCACCGTGGGCACAACGATGTTCATTTCTTCCTGTAACGAAAGCCTGCAGCGATGCCGCCGACAACGTCCAACCCTTCGGGTAGCGAGACTTTTCCGTTTGAAGTCTGTTCTTGGGCAATCGCGCTGACCAATTTTGAGTGGGTTCTTCCAAGGGGGCGGCCGTTGACACAACATATGCAGTGTTGTGCGAAGCTCCACATGCCCGCGACGCTGTGTGCGGACTTGAAACCACATGGACAGTCCTACAGTTCCAGGGCCTTGTGGCACCGGAAGTTCCAGTGCCACGTAGCTCTGGATGTAGCCGTGGACACGAACGAATAATAACGAAGCTGCAGCCCCAGTCGGCAGAGTGCGCTCATTAGAAGCAATCCCACCACAGCCTCGCCGTTGAAGTACGCCCAAGTAAGGAGGATTTTGATGGGCACAGCCCGCAGAGACCTCCATCTGCCTGGTATAGACGCCGCCCTTCGAGTGCAAGAATGGGGGACAATCACGAACAAATTGTGCGTGCCATGGACAGCCGTAGAGCACCATCTGCAATTCCAGGGCCATGAGACCCTGACGATAGCCCTGGGCACGAAATAATGGTAATGAAGCAGTGACCGCATATATCAGAGTGCGCAAGTGGGCTAGAGTCCCGCTGCAGCCCCAAACCTTGAAGTACGCAAGGGACATCGCCCTTGGAGTTCCCAAGTGGGTTGGAGTCCCGCTGGGTTATGTTGGGTACATCCCGCAGGGACTTCCACTTGCCTGGGATGGACGTCTCCCTTGGACTATTGGACGTGGGAACAAGTGAAAGAAACATCGACTGCGATTTGCTCCACCGCGAGCGTCAGCACAGGTGTGCGACCAGCGCGGTGCTCTTCAAACGCTACATTGGGAAGCGCCGGGCGCGACATCGAGGTACGGCGGTAGCCCAAATGCTACGCGCGATCCTCGAGCCGCATGTGACTGAGAAGAGGAGGAGGAGGAGTGAGGTGGCAGGAGAGAAGGAGGAGGAGGAGGAAGAGGAGGAAGAGGAGGAGGATGAGGAGGAAGAGGAGAAGGAGAACGTCGGTGGGGAACCGAATGAACCGAGGTTCGTAACGAACGCAGTGGGCACCTACAATGCGGGCCGTTTTCCCCGAGACGAACCCGCTGTTTTCGAGGGGGCAAGCGGCAAAGAGGAGGATGAGCAGGAGAACGCGCAGGGGGAACGCACCCTTGTCCTTAGCGTATGCCCCTGAGCCCAGCCTCTGTGCAGCGTAAGAGGTGGAGGAGATGGGGGAGGAGGAGAAGGAGGAGGAGAGAGGAGCGAGGAAGAGGCGGAGGAGCGAGGAGGGAGCAGGAGGACGGAGGGGAGAGAGAGAAAGAGAAAGAGAGAGAAAGAGAGAGAGAAAGAGAGAGAGATTGAGGAGTGAGGAGTGAGGAGTGAGGAGTAAGGAGGAGGGAGAGGAGGAGGAGGAGGAGGAAGAGGGTGGCTATAAACGTCTTGACCCGTACAATGTCATCTTCGGCGGATGAGGTGGATGAGAAGCAGGAAGGTGATGAGGATGATCATGCGGATGGCGAGCAGGAGGGGGATGAGGGAGGAATACGACATAGAATGGGCTGAAAACGAGGCTGCGGATGATGGTGCTGAGGAGAAGGAGGAGAAGGAGGAGGAGGAGTAGGAGGAGGAGGATGACGAGTAGTAGCAACATGAAGATGAGCAGGATGAGGATGATGAGGAAGAGGATGAGGATGATGATGATGATGATGATGATGATGATGATGATGATGATGAGGATGAGGATGAGGATGAGGATGAGGATGAGGATGAGGATGATGATGATGATGATGATGATGATGATGATGATGAGGATGATGATGATGATGATGATGGTGATGGTGATGGTGATGGTGATGCTGCTGATGATGATGATGATGATGATGATGATGATGATGATGATGATGATGATGATGATGATGATGATGATGATGAGGAGGAGGAGGAGGAGGAGGAGGAGGAGGAGGAGGAGGGGGGCTCTTGACGTGAAGTGGCCATTGCTCGAGCGTGCTCTGTTAGGCCTGAGACGGCGGAACTGCTGCATGGTGCAACGGGGGCGGGCTGCCTGGCGATCGAGTTCGGGCATTGGCCTCGCTGAAACACACAGGCGCCCCCCAGCCACGGCCTACTAAGCGGTCTGGGCGAGCGGGAAAGAGGCCAGGGGAAGCATCAACATTGAACAGGAAGAAGGGTCAACCTGGCTGGCCCGAGGGTCGAGAGCAACCCTGGCCGTGGATGGATACTCTCATGTTCGTTTTTGTTTGGGCTTTCCGCCTCATGGCGTTCTTCGTTCTTGGTGCCTCCATTGGGCCTTGGGTTCTCGGAGGATGGGTTCATAGTGCTTGACCCACGTTTTCGTGGCCGTGTTCCGATGGCACGGGCCCAGCAGCCTCGTGCTGACGCGAGCCTGCCGTTGGGAACGGAGGCCGGGTTTCGTTCCTGAGCCCGACACTGGTCCGCTGTGAAGACGAGAGGCAAACACGTATATAAACACATGTATACATGTATACATGTATATATATTTATACATGCACACCTATATATATGCCAACATATAGATATATGTACACTTAGTTATATGTAGAGGGGGGGATTGAGGGAACAATGCTGTCGCGGCGGCGTCGGGCAACGCTGGCGTGCAGTGCACTCCGTGAGTGCCCACAGGACCCACTTGGGCCAGCTCTGGGTCGGAGACTCCACCTGGGAACGGAGCCCAGGCGAGCGGTGCTATTGCAGTGCCGAGAGCGTAGGGACGGGGGGGCTCGGAGCGAGGGCGCGCCTCCGAGGAGATGGCGCGGATCATCTCCAGCAGGATGGTCAGCGGCTCGGACAGCGCTGCTCACGACATCGAGGTCACCTGCATCTCGGCGGTGCTCATCGAGTGGCCGGCCGTGGAGATCACGTTCGGGGGCGGGCCGCGAGGAGGAGCATCTACCTCTTATTCGGCGGCGAGCGAGGGGGGAAGTGAGAAGGAGAAGACCTTCTCATCAGGCTCGGAAGTCTCCCGGCCTTCTGAGACGTTTTCCAAGCCTTCCCCGAATGCAAACATCACTTCTCAGAGGACGCGAGGGCTTCTGAGAAGTCCCGCCGCCTTCTGAGAAGGCCTTCTCCTTCTCGCTTCCCCCCCTCTCCCGCCGCGGACTTCTGCAGACGCACGGGATTTGTGGTTGGGGCGCACCCCTGTCGACGACTACGAAGGGTATGGTTACGCCGGGATGTGGTTTGCGATCGGCACCGTTGGGGCCTGGGGGGCACGACACTGTCCTCGTCGGGCCTCCTCGGGGCGCGGGAGAACTCTATCGAGGTCACCGCGCGCCCCCAGGGGTGCCCCCTGGGATGTTCCCCAGGGTGCCGGTTGCAAACCACACCCTTTGCAAACCACACCCTTTGGAGTCGCCGACCCTGGGAGGGGCCCGAGCAGCAGCGGTGTCGGCACCTGTCTGCTCCCGCGGGGGGCGGCGGGCAGAGACGGAGGGAGTCTCCGTCCCTCCGCGGCTGGAGGGGGGGCTCATTCCAATTTCGCTGGTGAGGCTTGGGCTTGCACTGGTCCTCCTCCTCCTCCCCCCTCCTCCTCCCTCCTCCTCCCTCCTCCTCCTCTTCCCTCCTCCTCCTCGCCCTCCTCGCCCTCCTCCTCCTCGCCCTCCTCCTCGCTCTCCTCCTCATCCCTCCTTTTCCTGCTGCTCCTCCTCCTCCTCCTCCTGTCTCCTCCTCCTGTCTCCTCCCCCTCCTCCACCGCCTCCTCCCTCTCCTCGCCCTCCTCCACCTGCGCGGGGGAGGAAGGCAGGGGGCAACACGCGGAGGAGCTGCCGGGGGCAGGCCGAGGAAGGGGGCGGAGCTGGCCACGGGGTCGGTCCAGGGGGAGGGTCGGCAGCGGGTGCTGCGTCGGGATGCCAATGTTGCTGCTGCTGACGACGAGGTTGCCGCCAGTGGTTCTGATGCTGACGACGATGACGATGACGAGGACGCTGATGCTGCTGCTGCTGCTGATGATGATGATGATGATGATGATGATGATGATGCTGGTGATGATGATGATGATGGTGCTCTGCTGATGTCGATGATGATGATGACGATGTCGATGACGATGCCGATGACGCTGGCAATGACGATGATGATGTTGATGCTGCTGATGACGGTGGTGGTGATGATGCTGATGATGATGATGATGATGCCGAGCGACAATGGCGATGCTGATGATGATGATGATGATGATGATGATGATGATGATGATGACGGTGGTGGTGGTGATGATGGTGGTGGTGATTCTGTAGATGATGACGGTGATGGCAACAGCGTTGATATTTGAGGTGCTGTTGATGATGGCGATGCTGTCGGACGCGACGAGGACGATAGGATGATGTTGACGATCGTGACCACCTTGGCGGTGACCATGGCGATGCTGATTGGTCACCATGACGATGTTTATATTGCCGGTGACGATGATTTGTGTGCTGATACCGCCGATCATGACGACGACGACGACTGCAATGATGAAGGTGGCGGCGGCGTTGACGACGACGACGATTATGACGATTGAAACGAGGACGAGGTGATGCTGATGCTGATGCTGATGCTGATGCTGCTGATGATGATGCTGATGATAATGATGCTGATGATGATGATGATGATGATGATGCCGATGCTGATGATGCTGCTGCTGATGATGATGGTGATGAGGATGATGCTGCTGATGAGCGATGCTGATGATGCTGATGATGCCGATGATGATGCTGCTGATGATGATGAAGATGCTGTTGGCGATTGTGATGTGAATGACGATGCTGCTGATGATGATGGCTATGTCGGTGTTGATGTGCATTCTGTTGATGAGTCTGATGGTGATGATTGTGATGATTGTGATGATGGTGATGATGGTGATTGTGATGATGATGCTGCTGATGATGATCATGATGATGCTGATAATGATGCTGATGGTGATGGTGATGATGCTGATGATGCTGATGATGATGCTGGTGATGGTGATGGTGATGATGATGCTGATGATGATGACGATGATGATGCTGATGATGATGATGATGATGATGATGATGATGATGGCGATGATGATGATGATGCTTGCTGATGCTGATGCTGATGCTGATGCTGATGATGCTGATGATGATGATGATGATGATGATGATGATGATGCTTCGACGCTCAGGAATCACGCTCTCGCTTTGGCTTTTCCCGTCGAGTGACTTGGTCATCGCGCTATCGCTCGAGACTTCCTCGCGATTCATGCAGGACTCACGCTTCAGCGACCCGCCTGCTCGACCTGGCCGCCTTTGCCCGCCTTCCCGACCCGCCCGCTGGGGTCTGCCCGCCTGATCTGCCCGTCTTGTGCTGCCATGTGTTTTCTGCTCCTAGCCCCCCTCCTGATAATTTCTCTCGTGTTTATCCTTCTCCCTCCCCCAACCATTCGTTCTCTCTTCTCCTGTTCTAGGGGCTGCGCTACATGCACATGGCAGGCAAGGACGATATACCTCCAGGAGGGTACGGTCGAAGACGAAGAGGGTGGGTATCGAGGGCTTGGGATAGATGTGTTGAATGGTACGCGAGCAGATATGAGCGATCAGTCTTGAAATTACGGTTGTTGTTGCTGCTGCTGCTGTTGTTGTTGCTGTTGAACATTATTTCTTCTTAAGAATAATTATTGTTGGGACCCCTGGTGCGCGACCTCCCTCCAAAACCTAGGCCGCAGCTACATTTTCATCATTTTTTAGCGAAAGCTTCAGAAAAGTGAATTATTACCGGATCCGGTTGTTTTGTTGTATTCCGTTTTCCCTTGCAAAAAACACTATAAAATGAAAATTCTTGTTCTTACTTGATCAAATTGCAAGAATCCCTTGCAAAAAATAAGGTAAAGTGGACATTCGTGCGCGCAAGACGAAATCCTTCCAAAACCTTAGGTTTCGTAGCGATTTTAACATAAAAACATCAAAAACCCAATGGTTTTTTAAGAAAAAATTGTCAAAATGTCCTTCCGCGCGCTCTTGCGGATTCGTAGGAAAACCAACACTTTTTAAACAATTCTGTCAAACGGGCTTTTGCGAGCAACTTTTCGAACTTCTGCGACAACGGTTGCGCACCTGCCAGGGCCATCATCCCTGTCAAATAATACCATGCGGGACACATTCGTTTTTTCTTCGCGCGCGCACGCCGAAATCTCCAAAAACCATTGGGTTTTTAAGAATTTTAGCACCGCGCATCATAAAATCACACGAATCGCACCGTAGCTCTCCTCTGGCTCTCTGTCTTGCTCTCTCTCTCTCTCTCTCTCTGTCTCTCTGTCTTGCTCTCTCTCTCTCTCTGTCTTGCTCTCATATCATGCGCAACAAATGCACGATGCGGGGCACATGCGGGGCCCAAACAAGTGATTAACCTCTGCGGGTGTGTACTCCACGCCAGTGTAGTATCCACGATCGTCCGCGCGCCACGAAGTGAAGTGTCCTGACGTCATAGGGCGGGAAGCTGGGTGTGGGTGGTTCCCGAGAGTCGTGTGGATGTTTGGTAGAGCTTGCATTGCCCCCCCACGAAGTGGGGGTATTGGCTGGCGTCGCATGAAAACCCTGGCACTGGGGAGAACACTGAGCGTTCGGGTAAAATGATTGTTGTTGTTGTTGTTGTTGTTGTTGTTGTTGTTGTTGTTGTTGTTGTTGTTGTTGTTTGGTTTGTGGTTGTGGTTGTTGTTGTTGCTGTTGCTGTTGCTGTTGCTGTTGCTGCTGTTGTTGTTGCTGCTGTTGCTGCTGCTTTTGTTGTTGCTGTTGAAAATTCAGTTCCAGATACTCACTTTTGTGGATCTCTGGAAACGGTTCCGCGCGCGCTCGCCTCGACGCCGGCTACATTTTTCCCTGAAAACAAGGCTCCCGCGAAAGCGTTGGCTTGAACGTAAAAGTGGGCCCTTGGAGGGCCAGCTACGATGACAACGGCTCCCGACCGATAGTTCCTCACAATTTACCCCGAGATACCCTGGTGAAAGAAGTCCCCGAACTCAGGAACGGCACTCTCGCTCGAGGCTTCCGCGCATTTCAGTCAAGTTGGCGGGGGCCCAGCCACGACGACAAGGTTTCCTGCTTGATACTCTCTTACGATGTACTCCGAGAGCCCCTGGCCAGGAAGACCCCCGAACTCATGAACGGCTCTCTCGCTCGAGACTTTCTCGTGATTTAGTCAAATTGATGGAGGCCCACCTACGACGACAAGGGCTCTCGTTCGATACTTCCTCAAGATGTATGTGCCAGTAAGAGCGAACAGTCTTGATATGATTGTTGTTGAATTTTCATTTTTGAAGAAAAGTTGTTGTTGATCCCCCCCGCCCGGTGCATATTGTTTTTCTCAATCAAAGTGTGCCCCTCGACGCTCGCACCCTGTTTTTTCACAGGGAAAGTCTTCATGCTCCAACTGGGCCCCTGGCCCCCGGGTTACAACAACAACGGCTCCCGCCTGAGACTTCCTTACAATTTAGCCAGGACCCCCGCTGCCGCCCGAGATTTCCTCGCATTTTATTCAGGAATCGCGCTCTCGCTGGGGACTTCCTTACAATTTATTCAGGAATCGCTCTCCCGGCGCTCTGGAGTCGCGCTCTCGCTGGAGACTTGCTTGCAACTTACTGAAGAATGGCCTTGCGTTGGATTTTTCTGCAATTTGCCCAAGCGCCGCGCTCCCGACACCTAGGCACCCAGGAATCGCGCCCGTTGTGGCCCCATGTGCATGCCCTTCGTGGCCCCGCTGTCGCTATTTGTGTCCCCCTCACTGTCCTACGTGGCCCAGTTGCTACCCTCAGTGGCCCCATAGTTGCCTTCGGTGGCCCCGCGTTATCTTCACTTCGTGGCCCCCGCTCGTTCGCGCTCTTCGTGGCCCCATACGCATTACCTTCGTGTCCCCGCTGTCGCCCTTCGTGGC